CACGCAAGCGTGGACACGAAACTTTATTTTCGTTCTCTGTAACCTGAATTCTCTTCTCACAGAAAGAAGATTAAATCACTAATAAGAAAACTGCAGGCTTTACAATGAAACATGCTGATAGACTTTAGAATAAAACGGGATTTAATGACCTAATTACAACAAAATTTATCACATTACTTTAAAGTACACATATGATTAATAAATAACCAATTAAAATCGACAAAAATACCACATAGAACAAAAAATAAACACATGACATGTCAGCACGAAAATACACATAAAATAGTTCCAAGAACGACACATAAGATTTAGGACTTCACAAATAATAGTATAGATAAATTTGGTGCTAGACTTAAATGAAATTAGTGTTTGTCTCGTTTGTTCATTTTTTTGTATGTTTAAGAAACACTAATGCTTTTATATAATGTTTGAATAAAAATAAAATATGACCAAAATATCAATCATACAAATCTGTGTCTCATTCCCAAAATTTAACCTCCTAGAACAATGAGTGATTTTAGACCTATTGCTTTTTGCAATGTAAGTTATAAAATCTTTTCAAAAATTCTAATGAAACGGTTGAAGCTGTTAGTCGATAATTGAGTTCAGTAATAATTAGTATGTATATTAAATCAAAGAGTGTGTGTAAAGAGTTGTGACTTAAAAATTTTGTAGTTTTATTTTTAGTTTCAAAAGTTACAACCTTCAGTTGGTGTCTATTAGAAAACTATTTAAGTTGGTGTGACACTCCAATCCCGCTTTCCCTTTGGAGAACCAGATGGATTGGCCGTATCAACTCCTAGCGCCCTCAACCGCCTCTATTAATGGGTCCAACGTTCTCTATCTAGGCCCGTGGGCCCAACATACTCTATCTAGGCCCATTGGCCCACCACTGTGTGACTGTCGTTGCGTTAGTATGTGAGGCTCGTAAGACTTGTCTACTTTCCTTGCAATCACCATATGATCTTCTCTGTGTTTTGTCCACACTCGCACGGTACCGCAGACCAATTTCCGGTAGGTCACCCATCCTGAAATTGCTCCAGCTTAAGCACCATTAACTCTAGAGTTCTCTCAAAACCAGTGCCCGAAAAGATAAGTGCACTTTGATGACATAGGTGCCCATATAAACTCTTATAAGCTTCTCCACATATACCAGAAATCGGTATGTTAAAACTCTCCCCGACTTCTAAAGAATTCGTTCTCGAATTCTCCCTAACTCAACTACGTCCCAATACGGAACGCGGTCAAATCTGGTTGGCTAACCTTACACTCTGATACCAACTTGTGACACCCTGATCCCACCTTCCCTTTGGGGAACCATAGGGATCGGCCATATCAACTCCTAACGCCCCCAACTGCCCCTACTAGTGAGCCCAACGTCTTCTCTCTAGGCTCATGGGACCAACATCCTCTCTCTAGGCCCTATCACTAGGGTTCATGATCTATGACATAAAGAATTATATAAGGATTTTCTATGACTCTGGAACTAGAATAGACACTTATGAGATTAGCCAACTCTCGTCACCGTAATCATTTAAGCACTCTAACTCGACAAGTAGCTTTCGTCTCTTGCTGCGAGAGATATCATGCATTAATAGTTGAATTTGTGTCTGCTCACATCCCCTCCGTAGGTAGCTTTCGTATCCTACGATGGCCACATCCATAAGATCCAGTTTAGGAAATCTGATTCATCATTCTCATGGCTCTGATTCAACCTTAGATCGGGTACTGGTTAGTTACTCCAGCATACAACATTAAGAACATGATGAATGGGAGAGTCATGTAAAAATCGAAATCCTTTAACCTAAAAACCTAGATGTCATCGATAATGGGGTCCCTTTTGATGACCCCTTTACCCAACAAGGTAACTACTCAGACACAGCTGAGCTTGACATCATCATTGGTTTTGAAATAGAAAAACGGCAAAGTAAAAAGAAAGAAAATGAAGAAAATCTTGTCTTATTGAAGACAAGTATGGCGAGAAAAGCCTTCTACAAATGCACAAAAGTAAAGCCTAAAACTAAAATGAAGTACTCTTTTTAAATATGAAAGAGGCTTGGTTACAAAAGACCTAAAGACAATGTATTTATAGTGTTTCTCCTCCTCTAGGCGTCTAGGGTTTGTAAAATGAGTGCAGGAAGTGACTTGGGTCTTGGCTGGGCTTATGAGGGTCGGAATTAGGTCCACCGCGGGTAAGAATGATTGAGCCGCGGTGTATAGTACCTTGGCCGCGGGTGAGAGCTACTTCACCTTCTCGGATTATGTTGATCGACCTTCAGTGCATTGATGATATCTGGAGATCTAACCATTGGATTGCATTGATTCTAAGTGAATTGGAAAGATGATTGTCTCCTCTATAATTGGTAGTTTTTGGGGATGATCAGACGGTGAGAATGTCTTCATTGGTTGCCAAACTTCTGACGGACTGAATTTATCCAAAAATGTACTTTTGCTCCAAAATGCATTCCAAAAGTCTAAGTATTGTGAAAAGTCTTTTAAAACTCCAAAACATGGAAATCACTTATAAAAATTGAAAACTGAGTGAAAACACATGTATAAGACATTAAAAATGATCCATAAAAATGGTAAAAATCCTGTGTTATTAGAAGGAGGCTTGTAAGACTTGACTACTGTCTCTACAATCACCACATGATCTTCTTTGTGCTTTGTCCACACTCGTACGATACCGCAGATCCCTTCCCGATAGGTCATCCATCCTGAAGTTGCTCCAGCTTAAGCATCTTTAATTCTGGAGTTCTCTTAAGACCAGTGCCCAAAAAAATAAGTACACTTTGATAACATAGGTAGCCAAATCAATTTTTTTATAGGGTTGTTTTGAAAATAAGGACGTTTTTAAGTTTTAATTTGAGGAAAGGGTAGTTTTAAGTTTTAATTAGTCGGGGTAGGGACATATTTTCATAATGGCAAACTTACCCTTCTTTCTGAGAGAGAGAGAGAGAGAGAGACAGAGCAGTCTGTTCCTCAGAGAGAGACAGACGCAGAAAATACCGTGGGTCCCAGGCGTAGTCTACGTCCGCGCGCGTATCAGCCGGGAAGAGAGCACTCACGCGCGTGATTGGGTCGTTTTTTGGGCCTGATTTCGAATTTGGGAATGAAATTCCCAAAAACCACCTAACTGGGCCTCGGTTATGGGCCGGAAACTACCCAAGTAATTACACGAAAAACTACCCTTCCCATTCTCTTTTTAATTTTGGCGGGAAAAATTGTGGTTAATTAGGGATAATGGAGATAAATTGGTTAAAGTAAGAAACAAAGTACCCTAACCAAATTAGAAACCCTAGTTTCCCTTTCCAGAAGATGTTGAAATTGAAGGGGAAATTATGCGATGATCTAGAGGACAACAACCACGGTTAGTTACTTAATCCTATTATTGTATACTCATAGATTTGTCATTGTTATTTTCGAATTTGTTTTCGGTCTGGTGTTCGCCATTTGCCAGTAGTTTTATAGATATGGTGTTCGCGAATTGCAGTGGATGCGTTCATTCTTGTTTTGGCGGGAACGTGGATAAGGTACTATACAGGAGAATGGGATTTCAAAATGGACATATCTCGTCGTGGCAGGTGCATAAATTGCAAAGATGTGTCCGGACCAGATGATTTGAGAAATCTGATTGCGCATGAGTTCGGATTAGACACGAGAGTTGTTTCGGTGGAGATTTCCTACTGGTTTGATGATGTTCTAGCTGAGCTTAATGGTGATGGGAGTTGTCCATGTGTAATAGTTACTCCTCGAGAGTACAAATTCTTCCTTTTGCTGCATAAGTCTGACAAGTCTGTGAATTTATTTGTCACATTCAAGGAGTCAGTAAATGGTAAAATGGTGAGATTGAAACGGAAGGAAAGTCTTGAAGTTCAAATTGCGAGGGAACGGCGAAAGTCCTTAGGGCCAACAAACTTCATAGCCTCTTCTTCGGCAGAGTCTAGTCAACCCGATGATGAAGCAGATGATGAAGATATCGATGATTGTTTGCTGATAGCACATGCCGAGAAAGTAGAGGCAGTGGCCGCAATGAACACCTCCAAAGGTGTACAACTTAAAGCTGTCTCTGTTATCCATCCTCCATTGGGATTAAAATGTCCCAGGAATCAGAGAAAGTAGAGGCTAAGGCCAGCACTAACACATCCGTTAATGTAAAACCGGATGTTCCAAGTCACGCTGTCTCTGATGACCACCCTGAGTTGGAATTAAAAATGTCCCAGGAATCAGACGAGGCGAGAGATTCGGAAGAGAAGGAAGCTGATGATGTTGACGATGACGCACACGACTCTGATGATGATTATGATCCGGATTATGATTTTGACTGGTGGAATGATTACGTACTAGCAGATGGAAAGGGTTTCCATTCTAAACCTGGATTTGATGAGGATAAGGATGACTCTGGTAGTTCAGGCGGTTGTGGAAGTACTCGCGGAAGTGAGCCGAGTGATTCAAACCATATGGACAATTCCATTGTCTTAACAGAGAGTCCTATTCATTTTCCTGGAAGAAAGAGGACTGTATGTGAGAATGTTCTGGCTCCCCATGGAGATGATGATGATTTTGTGCAAACTCCGACAGGTGATGTCAGTTGGGGGCGTCTGAATGGCGGTGCAGAGCTGAAGAAAGCGATTAAACGTACAGAACTATATGGATTTCCGGATGTGGCACCAGTCTCTGATGAAATGGGAGGGGATTTCGATGAACTTGATTTGTCAAATGAAGATGGAGAGATATGGGTTGGGAAAAAGTTCAGGAACAAGGAACACTTTAAAATCACGTTGGCCATCAATGCGCTGAAGAATATAGTGACGTTCGAATTCAAAGAGCATGCGAAGTAGTACACAGTCGCCGAATGTCCATCAAAGATATGTGATTGGAGAGTGTTGGGGTGTCAAGTTGGCGAGTCGGCGTTGTATGAGGTGAGGAAGGCGTGTTTGAAGCATACATGCCACCCGGATACAAGAAAGAAATTTTCAAAACATGCTACTTCTAAAGTCATGGCGGCTCTGCTGAAGTCTAAGTATGAGAATGCAATAGTTGGGCCACGTGCGAGTCAGCTACCTGCGATTGTTCTGTCCGAATATAATATTACAGCCTCGTACTGGAAATGCTGGAAAGCTAAGGAGCTGGCTATATACTCTGCTCACGGAACAGAGGAGACTTCTTTCAAATTATTACCGATTTACCTCCATGTGCTCAAGTATGCTAACCCCGGCACCATAACGCATTTGATAACCGAGAGCGAGAGAGATGAAAAAGAAGGAAAATGTATTACCAGGTTTAAGTCCGTATTTATGGCATTGGCTGCGTGTATATCTGGATGGAAACATTTGAAACAAGTAGTTGTTGTTGATGGGACTCACCTCACTGGTAAGTATAAGGGTGTCTATTAACGGCCAGTGGACAAGATGCTAATTACCAGGTATTTCCAATAGCGTTCGCCGTTGTTGATGCAGAGTCTGACAAGACGTGGAGGTGGTTCTTTGAGAAGTTGTTAGAAATTATTTCAGATTCCTCTGATCTTACTATTATCTCGGATAGGCACGGTGGAATTGCCAAAGCTAAAAAGAAATGGTATCCACAGTCACACCACGGTGCATGTCTTGTCCATATCCAGAGAAATGTTCACGGTAAATTCAAAGGTTCCGGTCAGAAAGGGTTGGTCGGAAAGGCTGGAGAAGCGTTCACAGTTTCTAATTTCAAGAAACTATACGCAAGGCTGAAGGATGTTGATTATGGTTGTTGGGAGTACATGGAAAAAATCCCTCTTGCGCTGTGGACTAGATCACACTTTTCTGGTCAGAGGTATAATATGACCTCCAGTAACATTGCAGAGTCTCTGAACAATGCACTATTAGCTCCAAGAGACAGTCCAATCATTGTAATGCTAGAATTTATCAGGCGAATGTTAAGTAGGTGGCTTGAATGCAGAAGAGAGACCATTCAAAAGATGGATGGTGACATTACAGAAGCGGTTGACAAGTTAATGAATCTGCAGCAGCAAAAGTCTGATGCACTCTCGGTTCAAGGCATTTCTTTGTGGGAGGTTGAAGTGAGTTCTGAGTTCGGTGAACGGAGGCTTGTTGATCTCCTAAAAAAAACATGCTCATGTCTAGAGTTTCAGACATTGAAATACCCTTGCCGACATGCAATGGCCGCGGCTAGGCTTCGCCAAGTGGAGTACAGCAGTTTGGTTGATCCAATTCTTAAGAAATCAATTTGGAGTGCAACAGTTTCTGGCAAATCCTACCAGTGCCCGACCCTGACGACATTCGTATCCCAGCAGAGGTGCGTGACCTTATTATTATGCCACCTAAGGCAAAGCGTCCATCAGGAAGGCCTACGACGAAGAGAAAACTTTCAGCAGGAGAGTATCCTCAGGTTAGTGTACACTAAACATATATTTTTTCTCAGTGATACTGATTACTGATTAATGATTACTGATATACGCTGTTGCAGGTTGCGAAAAAAAAAGAAGCCAAACAAATGCTCTAGATGTGGAAATGCCGGCCATAACCGGGCAAAATGCAAGGAACCATTGGGTTAACCGGGTGTGGTTTTTGTGTGTCTCTTGATGTTTTTTTTGTGGGGATGTTGCTTTTTTTTTTGGGTTTGTTTGTAGCGTACACTATGTTTCCCTATATTTAAACTTGGAAAGGCATGAACATTTTTTAATGTGTTATGAAATTTATGATGTTTACTGGTCAGGGTTTACACCCATGACGGTGGACATGTTGCTTTGTTTTTCGGGTTTGTTTCTAGCGTGTACACCCTTGACGGTGGACACAGTTTGTGTACACTGTGATGGTGGACAACATCAATCAGTTTACATCATATAGTGTACACTGTGATAGCGTACACTATATTTAATTTGTTATGAAATTAATGATGTTGACTGGTCAGGGTTTAGGGTTTAGACGGTGGACATGTTGCTATGTTTTTCGGGTTTGTTTCTAGCGTGTACACCCTTGACGGTGGACACTGTTTGTGTACACTGTGATGGTGGACAACATCAATCAGTTTACATCATATAGTGTATTTGCATTATGGCTTATGTATAAGTTTACGATTTATATGGTGTAGCATATAAATTTATGTGTATGGATGTTATGGGTTAGGGTTTAGGGTTTAGGGTTTAGGGCTTAGGGTTTACGATGAAGGCTTTAGGCTTTCAAAATAATTAGCACAGGCATGGACAATGATCGTGTCTTTGAATTGAAATTGTAGGACAGGACAACACAAGTAAACGGTTTTTTCAAAAAACAAGTCATTACAATTTTGAAAATCGCAATAATGAAACCAGTGTCTGAGGAATAAACGCGTTTCAAAAAAATCAAATTGGAAACGACAAAAACTAATTAAGTACCTTTTTTGGAACCTGTTGCACCGTTTGACCGACTCGTTTCCCTTCTTTACTTTATAATGTGTTTCCGGTCGTCCTCTATAAAAACTGTCCCCTGTCTTCTTCAGTGAAACAAGTTTCCGGAGACAGAAAAAGTTAATAACAGCAAAAGTTACTTACTTTCTAAACATGTACTCTGCGAAAGTGATCTCATTGCAATTGAAGGAAGTGGAGAGGAAAAACAGTCCATGTTTCAGTACAGGTATTTGATGGTTAATTTGAAAATAGGGCATTAGTTAAGTTTTAGTTTTACAGGGTCGGTCTTTTACATCGTCTACCTAATTAGTGGTTTGCCGATTTCATTAGGACATGTGGGTGAGGACTTGTATCACTGGGAAGCTATCATAACGGGGCCTAAAGGTTCCCTATGAGAATGGTGTTTTCAAAGTAGACATTCACTTTCCGCTTGACTACCCTTTCGCGCCACCTAGGGTAAAGAATGAAGCATATGATTGCTCTCTAAAATTACTGTATTTTTAGGGTTTAGGATTTAGTCAATAAAGATTTCAGTTACTAATAACACTGATTTTTTTCAGGTGATGTTCAAAACAAAAGTATATCACCCAAACGTTAATAGTTATGGGAACATTTTTCTGAAGATGTTGAACCCAACTCACTTCAGGACCAACAACAGCATCAATGATGTATTTTTACACATGAAAGAAATAAATCGTTATTGTCTTTTAGGGAATATAATATAGTAATTCCGTTTAGATAAGGGCTTATCTATGTTTACATGTATATGTAATCAGGTACTGACGGAAATACACCAAATGTTTACTGCCCCCCAAATAGGCGAAGAACACTTTTTGTTGAAGAAATTGCTAGGATTTACGTGGAAGACAGGGCTGCTTTTGAAACCACTGCACTTGCGTGGACGGTGGAGCACGCCGGAGGAGCATAAACTCCTTAATTGTACTTTTAATTATGTTTGTTGAATTGTGTTTTTTGTTTAGGAAAAAAATAAGACCTCTATTTTGTTAGCGTGTATTTGGTTGGGAAGTTTATGACTTCATATTAAGTTTTTAATATCATTTTGTGGTTTTTATGTTTTGGATTTGATAAATTGTCGAAGCATAAATTGTCCAACGATTTCAGGAAACATAAACATGGAATATTAATTCAAAGATTGTTCATTACATACTAAAAAGGAAATATATGTGTACACTTCATATAGTGTTACACATACTCGTGTACACTTGCAAAAGTGTACAGCATAAACTTATTTTAAAGCATTTCGCAGATACGCCTAGCACACCAATATATGAAGCAACCATTGCAAAGTACTCGGATCTCAGGTTCGAAATGATCAAATGCACAATCAGGGAGCTTGATGACGTCGTCGTTTGGATATGAAAATGAGTTTGAGTACGTATCCATGTATGCAGTTCCGTAATATGAAATCTCAAGAATTAACTCCTCACCTAAATGTCGCATGCGCTCTGACTGTAGACTTCCGTGATGCGTTGCCAACAGTTGCAATGTTTGGCTTGCGGAACAAGGGTCACCCAAGCAAACGCTGAACATGGCCGAGGCCAGGGTCGAGAGAGCGTCGGTGGGAACATTTGGTTCCAGCATGGTCTTACTTGCAATGAGATCTGCGCCTCTGGTTGCAAGTCTCAGGCCTTCCCAGTATCTTGCCTCAGGGTTTCCACTCGCTAAACATTTCAGAAAGAATGGGCGTCTTTCCTTTCCAGGGCATATGTCGCTGGGGACACAGCAAAGGGCATAAATGTTGGAAGCTTTGAGGACATCGTCGGTGAAAACAAGCCGGAGGGTGCGCTTTCCAGCGCGCACAAATGGTCCGAGTCGCCAAAATGCTTCGCTGCCGAGCCTCTTGAGGATTTCGATAAGAATTTCATCAGGCAAGTCTGGGAGCGACATGTTCGGTTTAGGGTTTGTTATGTTTGGTTTAGGGTTTGTTTTCGCTGGAAAGGAGGCAAGTTTTGGTAAGACAAAGCAAAATCATCATATATGGACTTCACTGGTGTGTGGTTGGGGGGTGGAGAATTTATTATACGGTTGAAAATAATATAATAGTGTACTCCCTTTTAGTAAATTTTTCACCTACCCGTTTTGTACCCCCAATTTTTAAAAATAATGGTCAGTTCTCTTTTATTAAAGTGCCCGAAACTAGTAGTTACATTTATAATGTAGTGCGACGTGTTGGGGTCAGTTTAGCAGTTATTGAAGTGGCTCTTATCTGTATACCAACCACGAATTAGGACATTTATATATCTATCCACCTTGTCTACAAATAAAGCGAATCAAATTTATTTTTCACCAAAGTGAAACAACAATCCACTACTTAGACGATGATGTTTTAGGGTTAATAGTAAAGAAACTAGCTGAGGATGATTCCTATCATCTTGGACCCTTTATTCGCGCAGGAAAACTTGGAAGAGCCATCGCGTTCACCGACGACGTGTTACGCTCTGCAGACATCTCTCGATTGGTTGACTCACCGCTCGACGTATCCCCTAGGAGCCGTTACCGCCCATTCTTTGAGCATTGTCTTGGCGCCTGTAATCCACGAGCTATTTATTTCAAAGCCATTAGAGTTGCCGTGAGTGAGCAAAGATTGTATTCAGCGATTACAATGCTTAACCGACTTGTCCCATGTGATAAACATGCTACTTTCGCATGTGCCATGTTTGAAATTTGCGTCGGTCGTCCACGAAGGGCTAAAAAACTCCTCACCTATGTATTCACTCACCACGTCCCTTATGCGGCTTATGAAATGAAGCTGTTAGCGCACGCCGTTATACGTCACGTATGGGAGTTCGCACTGGGGCCGTTTCAAGATCCGTGGGGTAGCCTTTGGTCCTTCCCCATCACCCTACAATAAGAACCTATATCGGAGTGTGTATATGACCATTACGATGGCTCAAATACACCAGACTGCGAGTATTGCCTTCTACAATGCACGGCTCTGCGCATAAGATATTTACTTTAGTTTAATTATTTAAATTGCAAGTGCTTGTAAGATATTTACTTTAGTTTAATTATTTAAATTGCAAGTGCTTGTTTAATTTTGTAATAAATTTAAAGTGGAAACTAAGTGAAAATCACTTGACGAACTTATTGTAACAAGTAGCTACTAACAACTTAACTAGTTGTAACAATGTAACTACTTCTTTAATTTCTGTAGTTGGTAAACACCACTTCACAAACTTATTGTAATATTACTTCTGTTCAACTACACACTAATTGTCTTACCATTAACTATTTCTCAACAACAACTACCCATGGAATTCAATATATAGTTTCATAAAATTGCGCAGAAAGTTCACCCTACACAAACCTTACACAAACCCTATAACCTTCCCAAAAAATGCCAGATTTACCAGATTTACCAGATCATATTTTCGAAATCATTGTCAAGAAAGTTGCTGAGTCTGACTGCGTCGACCTTGGACCGATTATTCTGGTCGGGACCCGTGGTAGAGACATTGCGTATAGCGCGAAAGTACTCAGATCGGCATACCTATGGACATTGCATGACACACCATCTCGGATATACCCTGGTGGAGTATATCGGCCTTTATTCCTGCGCTGCTTAGCGTCGAGAAATCCACGGGCCATATTGGTCGAAGCTATAAGGTTCGTGTCAACAGAGGAGAAGATCTACACCGCCATCAGGATGCTAAATAAGCTCGTGCCATCAGACGTCTATGCGACTTACAGCTGTGCGATTTTGCAAATGTGCGTGGGTCGCCCTAACAGAGAGAAAAAACTTCTAAAGATGGTTTTCAGGTACCACTATCCTCATAATTCTCGTGAAATTCTTGAAGTCGCCGCAGAGATAGTAGATTTATTCTGGTCATTTTGCCCACGTAATAAACATACATACAAGGAAAAGTTCAGGTACCCTAGTCTCATTCATGAAGACAACTCTGCGTCGTGCGAAGTGTATCACGAGAATGTGCATTATATTGTTACATGTGAAAATTGTTATCTTAGATGTTTGGCAGAACGCATAGCAAAAATGCTTTAGTATCGATGTGCTATGCTTGCTTGTCGCTTGTTTGTAAAATAAATATGAATTTTTTATAACAGCCTTATGTCAAAAAAGGGTTTACAATCACGTATA